CCGAAAAATAGCTCTACTTTGTTGTGTGGGTCAACTTTTCTGGCGACAGACAGAGAGAGGCGTTGAAAGGCTGCTCCAACGGAACTTATTGTTTTCGGAGGAAAACACGAACACGGTGTACAGTCGAGTCTTAATAGCTTACTTACAACTGGGCTCATCAGGCACTCTTCTTGGCTGCAGTGGTTATTATTATATTTACATGCTTCCAGCTGCCGTTTTTCCTCGATGACAACTCGTACCTTTCCACTCCCCTTTTTCTCCCTCCTCGCGCTCACAGACCCATAACGTGTATGGCAGTCCATTCTCCCTGCAACACGGACTACACTGCCCATGATGCTACATTCTTTAGAGCTATGCTTGTAGCATTCTGCCTGTTAGCTTAGCACAACAACAACAACAACAACGAAAAGGCGCTCTCTCACCCAGGAAACACACAGTCGCAGAGAGAGAGAGAGAGCGTCGCCCTGTAACCATGCCAACCGTAACCCTGCCGCCTGGAACAACAGAACGTAGCTGTCAAACAAAACCCAAACAGTCCTGACCCGCGACAAAATGAAACAGGGAAGTACCGCAGTGTATTCCATTTATTTCAACAAAGTAACTGTATTCTGAATACCACCTTTTTAAACGGTAACTGTAAAAATACGTAACGGCGGTGCATGTATTCCGTTACTCCCCAACACTGAAGATGACCCACCCACCCATAATTTGCAATGCTTGAGTCAAGGACAGAGAGAAGAGATTCTATAAGAGGCATTAGAAATAGGATCAAAAATATTTTAATTACTGACAACAGAAAGATGCTGTTACAAGAAATCAGCATACAGATGTAAGAAAAAATATGACATTTATGTGGGATTTGTAACTAACTAAGGGTGTGTCTTACCCTGATTTACCTTCAGCGTTCCAACCCCGGAATAATCTCCTAATTATGTATTTTTCTCTGAAGAAAACTCAAACAAAACATTTTGTTTTTGTGACTAAAATAACTACCTGACAAAAATCTGACTATGAGTAAACTGATATCAAATGCTCGCTTGCATACATCCCAAGTGTCCTACAATAAATGTGTAATAAAAGTACAGTAAATATCCAGCTGCGATATGACTACTTTATATGGCGTTGTGTTTTGACTGACGTGTGTGTGTAAGCCTGTTATAGTGAGCTGTGGAAATCTTGAGCTTCTCTCAGGCTTTAGCGTGAATAAACGATCAGTGAGGGTTGTCTCGAGTGTTTATTACCCCTCATTGAAGGTCACAAAACTGTTTGCTTGCCTCACCGACGCTTTCTTTAGAAGGACGCACACATTCCTGTAAACACATGTACATAACGCGAGCAATGAGTCCACTCCCTAAACACACTCTGACTTACATCACGCTGTGAACCCTGACCAGGCTTATCAGCAAAAGAGGCCACGGAAGTGAAAACGAGCGAGGGACACAAGTAGAAGAGGATTAAAGAGGACAACCAAGGAGCTAAGAGAAGAAAGAGACACCAACACGGCTGCTGAGATAGTTGGAGATGGCAGCTGAACGCGCAGCAGCTCACAGCGTTGATTTGTAAAGGTACGCCACACACGCTCGAGTCAAACCACCGAGTGTTGGGAAAGGCTTTTATTTTGTACGACTAAAGCGAAAGAGGTGGCAGCCAGGAAGTGAAAGGGAGAGAGGGGACTGGAGTAGGGGCGAGCGAGCATGTGTTAATGATGTGTTAATAGCGGCACATGTCGAGCTCACGCTGCGACGAGTGTCACCGCACATCCTGACAAACACGGCTCAGCCTCCGGATCCATTCACCACAGCTCTGTGCATCCTCTGCTTTAATTCTCTCTTTATTTACCTTCTTGCAACCTTCTTTTGCACCTCGCTGCCTTCTTTATCTCATCCTTTCCTTCTCTCCTCGCTACCTTATTTACTTTCTTGTCACTTTATTTACTTCCTTACTCTATTCTTTAATTCCTTTCTGTCTTATTTATCACCTCACTAACCTATTTGCCTTCTCACTGCCTTCTTTAAATCCTCGGTACATTTCTTACCTCTTTATTTCTTACCTCTCTAACTCTGTGCTGCCTAATATGTCTCCTCACAACCTTCTTTACCTCATCATTACCTTCTTTAATTCTTTGCTACTATTTGTAGCTCCTCACTGCCTTTTTTTTTTACCTCCTTGCTACTTTATTCACATCCTCATTTCCTTCCTTAACTCCTTCTTTACATTCCCATTACCTTCTTTACATCATTAACTTCTCCGGCTGCATTACCACATCCAAAGAGGTTGTGAGTTAGTTCAGGTAGTTTGTGAGTTGTTTCTCTGTGATCCTATTTTCCCTCCCTCCAGTCAGTCGCAGCAGATGGCTGCTGCTTCGTGAGCCGGGTTATGCTGGAGGTTTTCTCCCCTACACTCACCACATGCTGCTCACTGGGCTTCTCTCTCTAATGTTTTAGGGTCCTTACCTTACGTGATGAAGCTTTATTGAGATGACTGTGGCCATCTATTGTCTTCTGCTTATCCAGTTAAGGTGGAGCTGGAGTATATCCCAGCTGTCACAGGGCTAAAGGTGGGGTACAGCTCTGACCAGTCGCAGTCTATTGCAGACAATATGTTATATACACTTCGCTCTGAGACTGAGGGTTTGCAGGATATTTAAAAGATGAATGGGAGGCAGAGCCTTCAGCTTTCACGCTCCTCTTCTGGGGAACAGGCTAAGGATTCGGGAGACAGACACCTTCTCTACTGATCTGTACTAATGAACGAGCTGTAATCAAAACAGCTACATGATTGAGCTTAAAACATCACTTTTTTGGTCCTTGATGGATCTTCACCACTGGGCCAGAGGTGGCTGAAGTCACAGGAACTGAGAGGTGCAGGCGTTAAGATAGCATCTCAGTGCTCGTTTGTACTTAATGTAAAGTCGTCAGTCTCATCACTGATGGTGCGCTAGAGCGCGAATTTCAAAATAAAAGATGCTTGACTCCTCTCCTTTGGGTGTAGAAACTGTGGATCTGAAAACTTCTCGGTTGTAGCTGCAGACACAGCTCTCATCAGCATTGATGAGCCTCCACACGACATCTAGCTCAGGTCCATTTAAGTGTGAGGTCTGTGGTGAATTGTTGAACTGAGCGGTCAGGACAGGATGTCGGCTCTGGAACGAAGATGACCTTCAATCGTGAGTGGCTAAATTTTAATCAGCCTTGGCTTTTTGAATTTTATGCAACTATCCCTGGAACTTTTTAATCGCACCTTGTAAAAAAATTGAATTGCATGGGTCGTTTCATATAAACATTTAGCTGAAGGTCTTTCTGTAATAACCTCATTAGAGTAGGTTTGTGGAGCTGCCTACATTCAAACCTTCTTCCACGCTTCCAAGCCAGGAAGCCTTGCTGTCCCCTCGTCTCCTTCTCTCTTTAATCCCTAAAATAAGCTGCCTCATGTCCTCACTTCCAGGAAAGCTTCCTTGCTTGTGTTTTTGTCAGTCAGATAAATTTTGAGGCTCAGATTGTGAATTGCTGCTCAGGGACGACGTTGTTTGTTTCTTCACTGACTCCCACATTCACATATGCTCATCCATATTTAATATACTACGTCTGGTAGCCTGTGTATGTGCCCGTGTGTGTGTGTGTGTGTTTCCCTGTGGGTATAACTGTGTATAAATGCAACGGTGGCAGTGACGAGTCTGTGTTTGTGCATACATGAGTGTGTATATGATTGTGTTTAACGCTGTGACTGTGTGTGTGGCTCCCTGCTGTCTGCCACCATCTGCTGTTCCCTCAGACTGGAGCAGCGAGTCGATGAGTCTGTGGAGGAGCTGGTCTCAAACAGGAAGCTGAACTCTGCCGATGACATGTTTTTCTGCTGCTCGGGGTCAAAATTAAAATGCGGCAGAACAAAAATGTCTCATGGTCGGCAGTTTAGAAGTTTTACTGAGCAAGGACGCAAAAAGACAAGGTCTTTCCTTCTAGTAAGGGTATGAGGACACAGAATCTTCTTCTTCTAAAGGAAACAAAGAAGGAAAGAAGTTTCTTAGACACCTTGTTTGGCCTTTTAAGTGAGGAGGCTAGGAAAGTAAGGGTAAAGAAGTTTCCTAGTCAAATAAATAGGAGAAAATAAGCTTCCTGTAGTAAGGAAAGAAGAAGGTAAGTCATGAATAGAAGTGGGGAAAGAAGGTTCGTGTCCTATTAAAGATTTAGGATGAATCCTAGTTAGATAGCAAGAAGTTAAAGAATCAAAGTAGGAGGCTTGTTAGGGGGTAAGGAAGCTTCCAATGCATCCTATGTCAATAATGAGGAAACAACACTTCTGATTTTTCTGCTGGAAGGAAAACGCAAACTTGAGTTTTCCAGAATCAACTTCTGGTCTGGTCCTTAAAATCCTGAGGCTCTGAGTAGTGGGTGGATGTCACGAGATGTCAACTGCAGCACATTTGTAGCTTAAAACTAATAACAAGAAGAAGAATTAAAAAGACTGCATTATCGTTCAAGTAAGATACGAAAGCTATTTATCCAAATTACTGTCGTCCGCTTCAGTCTTTCCGAGTCCTCTCTGGCAGAAAACAGTGACACATTGATGGATCAGTTAATTGGAAAACTGAAGAACTGGATCTGAATTTTAATCCAAGAATGTAAATCTGAGTTGCTGTCAGGGCAGAAGTTAAATTATCAGTTTTTCTTGACGTGTGGAAATCTGCTTCACGGAGCAGCTACAGCTGAACTGCTCACAGAATGATCAGAGTCATTCTGCCAGCGTTTAGTTCAGATCACCTGTCAGCATGAGCCGATGAAGTCTGCTGTTGAGCTCGCTCAGTGACTGCCTGTGTTCTTGTGTCTGCAGCTCAGCCGCCATGTCTAAAGCGACGGTGAAGAAGCTGCACTGGCGCTCCAAGGTACTGAAACGTGCAACGCCTGCAGTGACAACGGAGGTGAACCATTTCCTGTGAGAACTTCATCCTCTGTGTCGTCTGCAGGTGCAGGAGAGCTTCGTCCCGCTGGGCGGCGGCACCGGTGGCTCGGGGGAGCTGGGGCTGGCCATCGGGGGCGGGGCTGACTATGGCGAGTTCCCGTTCGTCACGGCCGCCCCCGGGGGCGGACCCACGGTGGGCGACATCATCCTGGAGATTGGAGGGACACCTGTGTTGGGAATGACCCTCGGTGATGTCAGAGGAGTCCTGAACTCCTGTCCTCATCCAATCAGAATCAAGACTGTCTCACCAGGTGAGAGAAAAGTTTGTTAATGACCTGATGGGGATGTTTGATGTTTAGTTTGTTCATCTGGAAAACATAAAAGAAGGAAAATTGGTCACTTATTTCACTTCTTATTTGTTTGTCTTTATTGGCTGAAACGGGCTCCATAAAATGTCTCATTAACCTGACACGTGTAATGTTCACATTGAGATGCTCAAAGGGATTTTTATGAAGCTAAAACAAATATATATAATAATATAAGTTAATTACTGGCTGACTGAAAGAAGAGTAATCTGCACTGCTTAATAACTCTTTCAGTTGTTTTTATCTTGTTTGAATCTTGAATCTCATGATTTGGTTTTATCTGACATCATTTTTCACCCCTCAGCTGTAAAAGGTGACCTCAAGGTCAGAGGTCAAGCTTTCTTAAATTCTTTTGAATGTGATAACTTGAGAACAAGGCGATGCAGGATTTTAAAATTGATACCATAGCTGTATCTACTGGGAGGCTGACGGGTATCATTGGTGCACGCCAGTATTTTTGTCATTATTATTAATGACAAAAAAGCAAAACTGTGATTATCAACAAAGATTTAGTCAGCTTCAGTCGAGGAGACACGGCCAAAGAGACACTTCTTTTCGGTTATAATAAGCTAACTGTACTTTCATGTAACATTTTATTCTGAAAAGAAACTACTTCCTGCAGTTGTCAGATCAGTGTAGTGAGGAGTATGTGGCAGTTTAAGATATAAGCAACGGAGTGAAATAGAGGTAATTCAAAACTGTTCTCAAGTTCAGCATAATGGCACGTGCTGCATGACTGTGACATCATGTCCTGTATTTCTGTGTGTGTGTGTGTCCCAGGTTCATCTCTGTGTAAAGACCTCAGGTTGTACCTCAGTAAGTGTTTCACGCCGGGCTCCATGGACAGTCAGCTGCAGCAGCTCATCAGGGAGAACCTGTACCTGCGCGCCGTGCCCTGTAAGACACACCTGCATGCACACACACACACACACACACACACACACACACACACACACACACACACACACACACAGTCTGGTGTTGCTATCCTCGTGGGGAAATCTCATTGACATAATGGTTTCCCTAGCCACTTACCCTAACCATCAAAAATGAATGCCTAACCCTTACCCCAGTACAACGCCAAAGATGACCGTTGAGGGAAAGAGAAGTGGAGCAGGAACAGGAACTTTAAAGGAGAGTCCGGATGATCCAGCGACCCCTAGGACTGTGCATTACACGCTTTAGTAAAAGAGAACTAAATCCAACTATCTCTACACCTAACCATAACCCAATTGTAACCCTGACACTAAAACCACATTTTGAGTGTGAAAAATGCCTTCAACCCCGCGGGGACTGGGACTGTGGTCCCCACAGTAAGATTTCAGATTTTGGTCCCCACCAAGATAGGAAGAACTAGAGATGGACCGATCCGATATTACGTATCGGTATCGGTCCGATACTGACGTAAATTACTGGATCGGATATCGGAGAGAAATAAAAAATGTAATCCGATCCATTAAATATCAGAAAAGCACCTCACAAAACTTGCGACACGGCGTAACTCGGCTCATAACCGTAGCACGTCGGAGAGTGTGCTCACGTGATAGAGCGGCTGTG